GCCCCCCCCCCCCCCCCCCCCCCCCAAGTTAAGCCCCGTACCCCCTCTCCCCATGATATTCGCATCTCCACGTAATCCAGACGACTCTGACCATGCCCCCGGTGACCGGATGGATCAAGAACATCAACGACCACGCCATCCACGGCGGCGATCAAACGCCGAGGTCGGACGACACTCGCGCCAACGCTAACGCTAGCGCCGCCAACCTGTCTTTTACCCCCCTCCTGGCCTCGCTGGCGTCGGGCTTGCGCGGGGACCCCGCGTACCCGTGCTGCCCACGGCGTGGGCGTGGGGTAACTACGGGAGCGGGTGGCGGGGGCAGGGGCAAGGGCGAAGGCGACGACGCTTTCGGTGACTTGGCCGCGGCCGCCGCGCTGGCGCCGCTGCCTGGCCGGGATCCCGCCGTGCGGTCGAGGCTCCGGGAGGGCCTGAGGCAGGAGATGCTCGGCGACCGGAAGCTCCGCGTCGCGCGGTTCTTGTTGGAGGCCGCCGTTGTCGGTGGCAGGGCACCGCCACCGCCGCCGACGCTGCAGGACGACGGCGGCGGTGGTGGCGATGTGGTGGCGGGGACGGAGCTCCAGCGTGTGCGGCAGCAGCTGCAGCAGCAGCAGCAGATGGCCCTTTCCGTTAGCAAGACCGGCCGGCTCCTGGCGCTCTTGGCGGGCGTGCTTGGTCGCCGCCGATTGGACGACGACGGCGGCGGTGGTGACGCTGACGCTGACGGCGGTGGTGGTGCTGCTGGCCGCCACCATGGCGCCGCTGCCGGCCCTCCATCGCGGTCGCCGGTCTCACGGCAACAACCACCGCCGGGGCGGCCGCCGCTTAGCGTCAAGAAGGACGTCCTGGTGCTGATCCGGCCGGTGTACGCGCTCCTCGGGGAGGCTCTCCTGGGGGAGAAGGGGCTGGCGCGACGCTTGACTCGCGAGATCCTCGCCGTCGCCTCGGCGCTCGCCGTCGCCGGCCTCGACCACACCCTCCCCGCAACTGCAGCCACCATCACCACCACCACGGAAGCAGCGGCAGCGGCAGCGGTGCAACAGCGGCAGCAGCAGTACGGGCAAGGAGAAGCCACTGGCGCAACGGCACCGGGAAGGGGAGCGGTAGACGTCGTCGGTGCCGGGGTAGAATCGCCGGCGGCGGCGGCGATCGAGCGGCGAGCGGTGGAGTGCTTCGCGGAGGCGGTGGTTCTCGCCGTGTCGACGAGCCTCGGGGCGGTGGTGGCGTCCGTCGCGGGCGGCGGCGACGACGACGGCGACTGCGGCGGCGGCGGCGGCGGGTTGGCGGACCTGGGGCCCTGCGAGTCTGACCTCGAGCGGCTCCTGGTGAGCCTGGGGGCGTGGGAGTCCCGCGGCGGGGGCGGGGGTCGAGGGTGGCCGCACAGCGCACCCCCGCCAGCGACGTCCCGGGAGGGTTCAGGAGGAGGAGGAGGAGGAGGAGGAGGAGCTGGAGGGCAGGATGCCGTTGTTGAGGACATTGACATGCCGCTGCCGGAGCTCCTGGACGATGCCGAGAAACTTTCGGCCGCGGTTCGGTCGGCGGCGACGAAAGGAGGAGCAGGTGGCGCTAGCGGGGCGATCGTGCGGCGGTTGGACGGTGCGCTGGTGCCTAGGATCAAGGCCTGCCGAGCCTTCTGTCTGTAGCCGACGCTGCGGCCTCTGCAGCAGCCGCAGCCGCAGCAGCAGCAGCGAGACAACGGTGTGGACACAAATTGACAGCTTTTTCAATTTTTCAGAAAGAGACTTTTAAGAGCTACGGCGGTGGTACCAAACAGACGGCGCAGGGATTGTACAACTAACTCCCGAGAGAGGTGTTAGATCTACTCGTGGAGTGCCTGCTGTGTTGCTGTTGCTTGTACGACGCCGTGTAGCCAAAGCGAACGCCTTCGAGTGTAGTTGTGCCCGAGGGGGGACAACGGCTTGGTCGCTCCTTTCGTGCTGACGGCCGGCCGCAGAGAAAACGCCGCACACGACTCGACAACTCCCTCCCTACAGGTTGTGTTGCATCGCGCGCGAAGAGGACAGATTGGGCAGTCGTTGTGATATATACATACTTCTATAGTCTACCCCGCTTCCCTTGCTGTCCAAGTCTTCTCAAGCTGGTGTTGGCAGTGAGCTTGTTGGGGCTACCCGGATCCGCCCGGGGAGGTCACCGGTCCAGCTATTATTGTCTGTTGGCTGGCTGTCTCGATTGGGATTTGCGGTGCTCCTGGTTTGCTCTGCCGCCCGCCGCAGCCGCGTCTGGCACGATGTAGCTACGCGTGCGATTTTTTTTGGGGGGCGGGAGTGGTGCGAAATGTTTCTGTCGCGTGGGATGACCGGATTGGACCGGCGCGCGACGCTGCTTAGCATTGGGTCGCCATGTGATGTCGTCATGAGATGCTTGGGGCTGATGGCCCGCAGGGATCTGTTTTCCTATAGATGTAGACTGTCGATTGTATGTGGCCCTGTACATCGTACCCCAACTTCTGCTGCGCGTTGTGCGATAAACCAGCCTACTAGCGTTGTTCTTCCTTTTAACTCTGACGAGGTGCCTGATGTTGTTGTGCCCGGCATTTGTGTATGAAAACGTCGAAACGAGGCACAAGAGAAACAAAAAAAAGCATCCCATGGTGCAGGTGTCTTGCCGCAACAACGTTAACACCTGTTTTCTGTCCGGGCCCGGGAAGGAAGGCGTGCGGAGCCATGTTGAGGGAAACAACCGACGGCGAGAAAGAAGGCGTTTTTTGTGTTCTGAGAGACACGTTAGTTTTGTTTCCCCGCGAGATGAGGGAGTATCTCGCTCGGCCGAAACAAACAAGTCTCTTGCGATCATGCGTGTATCGTACCCCGCGAGAGCAGTAGAGCAGGCAAAGAATTGCTTTGGTGGTGATGGTGTGATGATCTTGTCATGTGTACTTGTGCCGTTGCGTTGTTCACAGAATCCGACTTGCATCGCGCCGGGGCGTCCGGGGGGGCGGAGCATTTGTGCATCTGGTCGTTGAGAGACAAATGTTTCCGCGGCGCATGCATGCCCAAGGCAGCAAATAGAGCCACAGGTGTACAGCAAGTAGATCATCTCGTGTGCTTGCTTCCTTGCACTCTGTAGAACAAGCTTTCGCCTGCGCGTGCCAGGCCGCCGTCTCCGAAACCAGCTCGAAATTCAAGACCCGACAGACAGGGTGTTTCAGACCCGTAAAGCACACCTTCTCCCCTCGACGGCTACATCAACAACCCATTGCACGTACAGCCGTACTCCCCCCTTCTCTCCCCCGGCCAAGCCCATCTCTCGACCAAAGCGAGCGAAAACACGTGGACACACGACACACACACACCGTCCAAACAAAAACAGCCGCCGCGCCGCTGCTGCTAAGCCGCGGTCAGCGTCGTTCGCGGTGCAGCGGCAGGCTCGGCGAACAAGAAGAACTCGAAGAAGGGGCGGCGGCGGAACCGGAACCGGAACCGGCACCGGCACCGGCACCCGAACCGGCGGCGGCGGAGCCCGAACCGTTGGCGGCGGCCGGCGGCGACCGCGGCAGGTCCGACTCCGTCACCACCGTCACGCGGCGCGGTGGCGGCGGCGGCGTCTCGCTCTCCTCCGGGGGGTGACCGGGGTCCGCCACCGGCGGTATCGCCGCTACGACGGTCATCGGGATCGCCCGCCCGACCTGGTGGCCGATGAGCTGCAGCACCTGACGACGAAGACGACGACAGCGGATGGGATGATGATAAGGCGACAGTCGGGCGTTATAAATCGGTGGAATTGGAATCATGGAGGGGCTGCGTGAGGGGGGCAAGCATGGATAGAGATCCTAGAGGGAGAGAGCGAGACGAAGAGACAGAAGGAGGGACGGAGAGGGAGAGAGAGAGACATGCAGCACGGGTGACGTGCAGGCCGTGGTAGCGAGATGGTGGTTGGCGTATGCATCAGAGCAGCAGTCGTAGCGACCGTATTTACTATTTACTGACCTGACCGGTGACATGCACAAGACAAGAGACGGAGGGCAGGGGATAGAGGGAGAAATAACTACTGTCCAACACAAACGCCAACATTCCACGACGTCGCAAAACCAAGCGGGAAAAAACAGGCTTGCTGGCGTAGCTGACACAAGAGTGAGAAGACAGACAGAAAAAAATAGAAAATAGAGGCACAATGAGATAATTGTTGCCGACTCCGGTGTTGGTCGGAGGTCGCGGAGCACACCCACAATTCTAATTGCTGTACAAGTAGCGGTCGCTGGTTCGTAAACCAGATCAGTGGACGCAACCGCAACCACCTTCGACACCATATCGAGCAACAGCAACAGGTAGAGAAAAAAAAAAAGAGGAATGACACGATTCTATCCGAACGTGTGCGCCCCGTTCTGCATGCAGACTTAAAAAAAAAAAAAAACAACGTCAAACACAGAAAAAAAATATCTGCCTCAGCTCAACTGGGAAAGCCTCAACCAAACTCGTCTGCTCTGCACAGAGGACAAGAGGTTGATCCAACCGGTACCTCACGAGCACACGTATGCACTTGGAGTCGAACATTAGACGACGAACTTGCCACACCAACAACAACGACGACAACGACTCTGACAGCAGCTGTGAACAACGTATCGACACAGGCACCCATCACCGAACCAACTCTCAACTATAATACTCTACTTACGCTACACGCATCAACCTTACAAACAGAAGAAACATACTGTAGGTTCAGGTGGGCCAATCACCTCGGTGGTGGTTGTCACCGCCTTCCCATCGAACTCAGTGATGAGGTCGCCGAATCGCAAGCCGGCCCGGTCCGCCGCTCCCCCCGGCGTCACGCTCAAGATCTACGTTCGGGCAGCAGTTGGTTCGGGTCACATCAACAAGGTGCACAAACAACTCTATTAGTTTCGTTTTGAAAATCTGTTGTCATCTCGGGGGTGCTGAATTTTGAATCAACGGGGTTATTGTTTCGACAACCAGATCACACGCGCGTGCCCTCGGTGACACGATAGACAGCAAGCCGTGGCTAGGTGGTTGCGTTGGGAACATCGGGAATATGAAAAAGACTCGTGGTCCTAGGTTATGGATGTTGTTTGCGTCGTTGCCGAAGTTTGCCTCTATTCTAGTGCTCAAGCCCGGGCAACAGCAAAAAGCCTAGCCTCCTCTATCAGCCAAAAATAACGAGAGAGAGGGAGAGGGAGCGAGAGAGAGATGGGCACGACTATTATAGGCGACGGCACTAGAGAGCAGTAGGGGTGAAAATGCGGCACCCGTAGTGAACTTTTAAGATGGTACGAGCACCTCCCTCCCGCCCTCCCTTCCTACGGACCGTCCTCACCATGACTCCACTCGATTTTCCCTTCTGGTTGTCCGTGGTGACGAGGCGCATGCCCAGCTGTGGCCGGTCCACCCGCCCCTGTGTGCGCAGATCCTCGATAACCTGTCATCATCATCATCATCATCATCATCATCATCATCATTATCATCATCATCGTTGGCGTTGCTGTTGCAGTCATTACCAAAGGATTCCGTTGTCATTCTAAATGCTAGTTTTCCGCGCAGTCTTCAAAATTCCCGGCCGTTTCCCCGCCATTACTGTGGAACGAGCAACATTGTTTCGCAGTTCTGAGTCTCCAAGAGGTTTGTCACAACGTCAAACGTCCATGCAATTCCCCAAACTATGTATAGCGCCTCAAAAATATGGGCCGGGTCTTACTGGTGGAGCCGTGAAGCGGGTAGGAGGCACATCACACACTTCTTCGCCAAGACAGGATTGTGCCTATCATAGAATATGCTGTAGCGGTAAGGCAAAACACAAACAAAAAAGAAAGGCCAGGCCAAGAATTCACAAACCACGACGACGGTATTTGACTGGAGAATATTTTACCTGCCATGCTGTGTCGATCGGGATGGCGAACCCGACTCCGTCCGTACCGCTGAGCTTGAGGGTGTTGATGCCTTTGGTGAGGTTGCAGCAACAGCAACAGCGGCAGATAAGCAACAAAGTTAGCATCAAGGAGGAAAATGACCAATTGTAAAGCATCTTCCGGGAGAAGAAACGCACGGGCATAACAAGTCTCACGCGGCATGTGTGGCCTTCCCTGCCGGGTCGCGTTACCTCGGCTGGTGTGTCGTAAAAAAAGAATCCCAATGGTGCACTGAAACTGACAGTCCAGAACACGCGAGGATGACAACACTTAGTCTTCTCTCTGTCACATACATTGCAGTGAGCGCTGATTTGAAGTGAGGACAAAAAACAAAACAAAAAAGCATTCAACATCAACAGCGAAACAACATGACAATCGAGGACGCGCTAGGCCAAGCGAAGAAAACTTGGTGTAGTCTTCGAGGGGGGGATAGTGAGTAGTACCCTGTCGTGAAACACAACACCCCCGAAGAAATTCAACATGCACGGTACCCCCCCTCCCCGACCGAACAGTAGTTTCTTGCCCGCTCCCCCCTCCAATGCAGAATGCACATCAGGAATGCGACGAAGCACAAAAAATGGAAGGAAGGCATCATTGCCCTTTCGTTGTCGCTGCACCTGCAACACCCCTCGTTCGTTCGATGGTGTTCGGTCTCGTCTGTCTGACGCGCCCGAGGCATGCGTCAATCACGTACCCGTCAGCGCTCTCCCGCGCACACCAACACCACCGTCACCTCGCCAAACACAACAACCACCGATCACAAGAACAAGAGAGACGAGCAACACCCCACAGCAGTACCATCGTTCTGCGAGACTAACCGATTACTCTCCCATCCAGGTCGATGAGAGGGCCACCCGAGTTGCCCGAGGCGATCGCCGCGTCCGTCTGGATGAAGTCCGTGGAATCGCTCATGATCGTCTCTGTTCTCGCATCAGCCACTGTTGGGCAGGGACACAAGCAAAGAAGGAAGGCAACACGGACGACACGGCGGACGAAGGGAGGTCTTACGCATCAAAAATGCAACAACACCTTCTGTCGAAAGCATGCAATACATACCGCGTACGCGACACCGAGCGTGTGTGCCTCTTGGTCTCATCTAATCTGGGCGACAACATGCACCTTTCGGAATATGTTTGATGCATCAGACAGCGTCATGCAGAAGGAACACAAACACTGAGGTCTAATATCATTGCTCTTCCCATCCCGTTCCCCTTGCCGTGCTTGCGTTCGACAAAAAAAGCGACAAGTTTTCAGCATTCCCGTCGCTCCTACACTGCGACACTATCAAATAGCGGTGGAGTATTTAGAGACAAGCGCAGACTGCAATGACCAACAGAAGAACGGTTGCGGTTGTGTCTGCACCAAAAACAACCAAGGGCGGGGGGTTGCAAAGAGGAACGGAGCTGACCACGTTCAGCGATGCAAGCAGCAGTGCAACAAGCCCTCTCGCCCAAGGAAGGAGATCGCTGGTCTCCCTCTCCCTCCCTCCCTCCCTCCCTCCCTCTCCCTCTCTGTCTCTCTGTCCCTCTGTCTCTCTCTCTTTATCTCTCTCCCTCTCCCTCTAGCGGCCTCCCTCCCCTCACCGAGCTCGCTCCTGCGCCGCGTGGTAGCGCTCACGATCCCCAGGGTGCACGACTTCGACAAGCCCTGCGGACTCCCCATGGCCACCACGAACTCCCCGGCCCTCAGCGTCACCGAGCGGCCTATCTTGGCCACGGGCAGCTCGTGACCGGGGGGCACATCGACCTTCAGCAGGGCTAGATCGAACCTCCGGTCCATCGCTTGCACTTTTCCCTTCTCGACGAGAGAGACGGAGAAAAGCACAAACGGAGAGATCAAAACGGGGGTCTCGTCGGAAGGGAGGGGACCAATATGCATGCACTAAATGAACTCCGGATACCGCGCGCGTGGGGATGTGCAATCTGGACGACGACACAGCAGCACTAGTTGAATCGTTGACCCCGAGTAAACAAAATTGCGGGTGTGAGATCATCTGCTGACAGCCTCCGGCCGTCGTCTCTTACGTATATTCAGAGAACACCGAGACAACTTGAAGAGAATATTCCATCCGTGCCACACGCGATTTCGATGCAGGGCACTGTTACTGCTGGTGTACCGGGCGGCGGCACTATTTTTCGATCGGCAATACTTGCACTACATACCGCGAGCTCAGTGCTCCTACATGCACACCCTCACAAGAAAATGGTACACCATTTACCTTCAACCGACCGGCACCACTGCTATTGCCAATCTAGCGCTCCTACGTGCACATTCTCACACAAGAAAAGGGTTGTGCAATACCAATGTATTCCGCATGTACCTTCAGTTTCTGCCCGCCGTCGAGGGTGATGACCACCGCCCCGTCCGCGAACCTCTCCACCACGTGGGCGTTGGTCACCACCAGACCGTCCCCGGAGATGACGAAGCCTGACCCCATGTTGCGCACGCCGTCTGAGTCCCACTTCATCGCACCGCCAGCCTCTTCTACCACCACCACCACCACCACCACCACACCGGAAAGGTAAAGGCATTGAAAAGGAAACGAGAAGCCGCGAATACTTTGAGCTTTCTATCATCTGTGTACCTCATTTTGGTTCAGCTTTGCGACGCGGAGGAAATATTCTTTGCTATGACTTTTGTGAAGGGTACCGGGGAGGAGTTAACTGGATAGAGGGTAAGCCAATACACGACCGCGACCAAGAGCAGCAGCAGGTGCGCCTAGTACAACAACAACAGCAGCAGCAGCATGTGCCATGTTTGTGCGTGTGGAGACAGGAGACAGGGAGAGAGCGAGAGGGGGGGGGGGGGGGGGGAGAGTGTATCGTGTGTGTTTCTTTCGAAGCATCAACCGCGCTGAACGGCTGACCAAGACAGAAGCGCATGTATAAAATCTTCCTCGGACCACTCAACAGTTGACCACATCTCCGTTAGGCGATGGCGCTACACGACTTACAGCAGTAACAAGCGGGTTCGCCCTCACTGCTGTGGTAATAGCCTGCGCCGCAACTTCGTGAATAGTTACTGCTAGCGGACGTGTACCGAGAGGGAGGGTCGGGGGAGACGGGCACCCTAAATTCGTTTCCGTGTAGTCTCGCAGGACTCATGAGTCCACCTATCAGCTGAGCGTGAGCATCGTTCTCATGGTACCGTTCCAGCTACAAGTGGAGCCGTCTTCCACTGCTGTTCGATCGAAATGCAGGGTCATCTTGACCCCAACGCATTGTATATAACGGATCCTGAACCAACACATGATGCCACCAATTTCCGACTTCCGGGACCCCCAAAACTGCAGATGTGATACTCTCTCGAAGAGGTAAAGAGTCTTTCTTTTGTACCTGTAAAACTGCGACTTTCCAGGACAGCATCTATCTGTCTATCTCAGGTACTGCTGTAAGTAGTCCATGAACGGCAGGGCACCCTCACGGGGACGGGAGGAGGGTTGCTCACTGTGCTTACCCGCGGACATTCCCGATCCCGAGACGATGTTTACCACCCACGGCGAGGCGCTCTCCACGGCATCCGCCACCGCATGCCGTCCGACCGGCAGCTCTCCGACGGGTGCTCGATTTCGTCGTGATTGTTGTCTCATCGTCCCCCCAGAAGCAGCAGCGGAGGCGGCCTGACCGTTTTATCGCGCATGCTTGTTAGAGGTTAGAGGCGTTATTGCCGGGAGAAAGAAGGGGCGAGGCGGGGGGAATCGGTAGGTCGGTCCGCACGGCGCTATTGTTGCCCTTGTTGTTTTGATTTCTTGTATGCATACTCGTCGCTACTGCTGATGCTGTTCCCTTGTTCGCTGTTGCGAACTTGTCGATATTGCTGAGTTTTCTGCTGCTGCTACGGCCGCTGCTGCTGCCGCTGCTGTCGTTCGTCGGTCGATGGCAACTTTCTGTCCACGCCGTGGCTAGACAAGGCTGGGCTCGCACACAGACAAAGCCAGCAAGTCAACTAGTTACGCTTAAGACACTCCTACAGCGTGCTTGAGCATCCACCGTCCTGAACTTGCAGCAGCAGGATGGATTGTTTTGTCTTGGATTGAGAGAGGGATGTGTGAGGTCCTGTAGTCTCCGTAGAATGCTGGTGGAGACACGCCCCGGCCGCTTCTCTGTGCAACAGCTGCCAGTCAACAGATTTTTTGTTGCGCAGCTCTTTCCACCTGGCCATACGTGCATCTTGTGCGTGAACACTACAGGTGCTCCCTCAATTGATTTGAACATCTCAGTCGAAAAAAGGGACCCTTTATCTACGCAAGAACCCCTCGAGGGTACGGAGAGACAGCAGCAGACAGCAGCGACGCCTGCCGCCTGCCGGGAACAACGCGCACCTGACACCAGTTGTTAACTTGACAAGCTTCTAAACCAACACCGCATGCTACGTTTTCATGGCACACACACACACACATTTGGCGCTGAAGGCGCCTGGTTATGCCAGCCAGCAGGTCAGACACCGCCAGGCTGCGGCCGATGCGTATTTTGCTCACCTGCTTGGTGTCGGCCCCATCGGCCCCTTGCGCAGCCACCGTGGCCGCCGCCGCGAGCAAGCCCCCCCACACTCGGAACACGTTATCGCCGCCGTCTTCTCCGTGTTTCCGACCATGTCGGGGCACCGCTGCTGCTGCCCGCAACAATCCCTGGGCAGAGGCCACCTCCCGTTGCCCTGTCTGGTCGGCTGCCGGTGCTGCTGCAACCCAAGTTGATGCCGCAGAGCGACGGAACGACGTGCTGCGGGAAGCCCGGGCAGGCGGGCCACGAGAGGCTTTTTCGCGCAAGACACGGGCCACGATCCCTGGAGAAGATCTCATGCCAGCAAATATAGCGCTCGAAAACATCCCAGAGCAGCTAGTGCGTGTGTCTACGGCAGAGATGCCAGCTACAACAAGAGCGTACCTGCGACTTGCTGATTGCTGATTGCGCCAACAAGCACCGGGGGTTTCGCAGATTGTATACCTCCTACCCACCAGCATTGCCGTCACCCCCAGGTTATACCGCACCCGCAGGAACAGCTCCCCACTCACTCCAGCTTGTGACTTGTGTACACCCTGTACGGCGTTGTTGGCGACATTCACAGTGACAGCAGTGGACAGGCGCACGTAGGTCCATGAGTTACAACAATTACGGCGATGGATTGGATCTGGAGGAGGAGGGGCTCGATGAGTTTGCCGGGGCAGAAATCCCGACGAGCCTGAAGGGGCTTCGGGCCTGCAAGCGCTGTTCCCTCGTAAAAGGCAACGACCAGGTGTGTCAGTGTGTGTGTGTTGGGTTGTGTGTGTTGCGTGCCATGCATACGCTTACAGATACGAAATAATAACGATTCCGTCCCTTCGTTGCACTTTCCTCCCTTATCGGGTGCTCTGGAAGAGAATTTTGAGACCTGCTTGTAGGGTGTACGAACTACTTGTACAGGCCTTGTTGAGTCTACAGAGGTACATGTCTACAGTATTACAACACGTGTTAACGTGTAGCCCCCGGCATCGATAGGCATCGGCGCCCGATATCCGACCCCTTCGACGTCGGAAGACGGTCTGACCATGGAGGTGTCGGACGACGCTTTCCCGCAGTTCGGGCTGGTATGAGCACCCCCTCCTTGTAGCGGGATAGGTGCCAACCAGACAGGCAGGCGGATCGGAGGTGGAGGGGGGGGTGGTATACCGCCCCATTCACGGTTTCCGAAATTCGAAATTCGTAAGCGGGATGAACGTAAGCGGGATGAATTCTAGGGTTTTTGGGTTCGTCTGCACGTTTGGAAGTGGATTTGAGTATCGAAGAGCCACCGCCATGTGTACTCTGTTTTGACGCGAAGACTGCAGAGTCTCCGCCCCCCTTCTTGAACCTGTGGGTACAAAGTGTTTTCATTCCTTCCTTTGGTCGGGCATGTGGTACTCAAACCAGAGGCAGTACGACGGGGTCCGCCTACCCTATTCTACACCACGGACGGAAGCACTTGGCGCTTCGTTGAATTTGATTCTTGTGGCCACTCGGGATTCGTTCGAACGTGTGACCTTGGACCATCTATCCATCGCCTCTCCCCCCCCTGCCCCGCCGTATGTAGATGTCTTTGTCGCCGCCGCTGCTGCTGCTGCTGCTGCTGGCGGATTGACTGTACCTCTCTTTACCCACCGCCCGCTCGCTTGCTTTGTGCAGTTCGTGAACCACGGGTGCGAGAACTGCCCGTTCCTTCAGATGGAGAGCGACCAGGCCCGCGTTCAGGATTGCACAACCACATACTTTTCGGGGTGAGAGTGAGAAGGAGAACGCTTCCGCGTCCGTCGTCGTGAACACATGACGCAAACGAGTGTTTTCCGTGATTGTGTAACCTCTGCATACATCTAAATGAGAAGGGAGCAGCTGGTTCTGTCATAAACGATTTTTTCTTCCTTGGTGTTGAAGATTCCGTAGTTCGGACGACGACTTGGTTTACCTCCCGATTCAGTGGACCGTGACAAGCATATTTCGCGCTACACGCGCTCGGTCGGATAGCTCGAGTAGCACGAGTTGTGCTGTGCACTTCAAACCAACCGAGAAGCTCGATGATGAAACACACGGCATAAACCGGACATGGCCCATCGATTGTGAGCGTTGCGCCCGTTTCTGTCTGTCCGTGGCATATTACTCTCAAATTCCAGCCCGCCGCCTTGTGGTTTTTGTACCACTCCACCTGCCACCCAACCCGCCAGCCCGGTCTCATGTCTTCTTCCTTGTTTCATCTTGGTCGTGTATCTCCACCATCACCCCGGCGATGACCGCCACAGGCTTATCGCGATGATGGACCCTGAGTCCAGCTGGGTAGGGAAGTGGCAACGAATCAGTGAGTGGAATAGTGACGCCTTCGTTGCTGTTTGGTACAAAGGACATTGCCGCGCGGTACTGCTGCTGTTGTTGTTGTTAGTGCTCTCGTCGTTTTTTTACCCACCGTTAGTTCGCCCAAAAGATAACCACAGCCCTTGAGCAGTTGCTGTCCGAAGCTGTGCACACGCGGCAATGGTACAGTAGTCTTTCGTAGAACGTGGAACGTGATTCCTCTCCGCCAGTGCGTAAGCGGCGACGGTAAACTGACTGACCCCTGCCGTTGGCCTCGCATCTCCGGTACGTCGTTTCGTCACACACCACACGCTTATCCTTCAATCAACACAACCATAGAGGGCGTGCTGTCTCTCTGTCCCCCAGAGTGCGCAGGTTTGTTGATTTTCAGTACAATGTGCCGAAATCTTGTCATTTTACCACCACCCCCCTCCCAAATCTCCACTCGCGCCCTCTCGCCGCAAACGACTAATGATGGCCGGGGGTAATTCGTTGGTTGACCGATACTGCTGTAGGCGAATGTCGACCTGGAATGTACGCGATCGAGGTTGTGGGCGAGCTCCCGGGGGAGGTGCTCGAGTTCCTGGAGCAGAAGCGCATCCCGTTCCACTGCAAGCCGCCAGACTCCGCCAAGTAGAGAGAAATATCGAGGGGGGGGGGGCATGGGTACTTGTTTGCATGCGTGCCCCCGTTTCGCTGGAGCACGTGTGGTGGTTTGGGCGGGGAGGAAATACGGGAATACGGCAAGCATGCGCTATGGCTTTAGTGGAGCACATACGGTCGTGCATGTAGCATGGCAATGCCGTTGTTGCGTCGTTGTGAGGGCAGTTTTGCTCATGTGGTTGAAAAGAGAAACAGAACGTGCTGGGTACGGTGGTCAAGTAACTCCGAACCGTGACTACGTTCTGGAGTTGGTGTTTGTGTTGGGATCGTTTTGTTAAGTGTCGCGACGTGGTTCCGGCGCATGTTGCGGAAGGAACATGGGTGGTGGTTTTGGATGTTATACCCCCTTTCGGCTATCACGTCCGTTGGCCACTGGTCACCCCCGCCGCCCCCTCAACGTCACGCATCAGAGGCATTCCGCTGTCTGTTAGTGTCGCTCAGTCCCTGACAGCGACAATGTGCGGATGTCTTCCATGTGCTACGGTGACACCCTGGTCATCAGAGAGAGAGAGAGAGAGAGCGAGAGAGGACGAGAGGCAATGCGGTGGGGACTTAACGGACAGGCGCACGTGCCGTTGTGTTTCGTAACACCTATATAGCTGACGGCCGTTCGCTGTTGGTCAGATCTACGGAACCAGCAGCTGTACAGAGAGGATGTGTCCGAAGCAATAGATAGCAAGTAGTCTCAACATGCCTACCACCCGACACCATGCGGACTACTTAAGCGAGGAGGCACCTTTTCCCTCCGTCTGTCCTCGTTTTTGCCGCTTTTTGGTGCTGTGCCCAATTCCCTGTGACCACTGGATATGTCAGCTTGCGGCTCGACTAGTGCCCGCAATGGCTTTGCTCCGAAGAGGTCAGAAAAAATGGCAAAGCGTCAGCCCCCGTCCTCAGTCAAGTGCAACTGGTCCGCGGTTTGTGTGAGGCTCTCCCGTCTAATGTGTTCCCCGTGAAGCGACGGAAAGATCCCGTCATTTGGGATGTCATAAGCGT